CAAAGTTAAGTGGGAATGCTTCCGTGCTTTTAATCATATTTTTTATATGATTAGGCCCTGGAGTACAGGTTGTGGCATTGGTTCCAGTTGCTGGGCCTGTAATCAATAAATTAATTAATTATCTCAAGCAATTATTTCATGGAAAGATACAACATTGTGAGAGAGAGAGGAGCGACCCAAATGGTAACTTTCATGAAGTATAAGGTTTTACAGTAAATTTTTCCCCAAAAGGATTTTGACAATTTCAAAAATTATCCATGATTGGACAAAAAGTAATTTTAACCTGAATCCAGAAATCTAGGTGTTGCAGACAATATTTTTCATAAACATCTACCAGTACATATGCAAAAAAAAATCAAAGTCACTGGATTTTCATTATTGAGACAGTAATGAATTTTATTGACCACCACATGACCATGTTCTGTCCAACTAGCATCACAGTCATGTGGTATAATAATTGGTTATAGCAACCCACCATTTTGAGACTGGAATTTGTTCATTATCAACCTGTCCATTATTGAGGTCGGTAAAAATGTCCTACTACAGAGTTTTTCAAAAATTTAATCATGATTTGTCATGCTTTGACAATGTGTTTTCCTATCCAAAAAAAAAAAATGAGAGTTCATCAAACCATGAGAAACATACACAAACTGGAATTAGCAGTCCATGCATGCAGTTATCAATGAGTCACACAACTTGAATTACTAGCAATGATCATAATACTTACCAGTACCACCTCCAAACATGGTGGTGATTCCCGAGGCTACAGCCTCCCTTACCAGCTGGGGGCAAATGAAATGAACGTGACAGTCCAAAGCACCAGCAGTTACAATTAATCCTTCTGCAGAGATGGCTTCAGTACCGACTCCAACAACCATTCCCGGTGTAACACCATCCATTACATCAGGATTACCAGCTTTTCCTATTCCAAATATTTTACCATTCTAGGATACAAACAGATTAATATAACATTTTCTACACAAACTCTTTTTCCTATTGAAGAAGTACTTCAAGATCATTCATGCTTCACTGCAGAAGATGATATGTCAAAAAAAACCCGATGAAAAACAAGTTGCTCTCTGATTGCTCTGAGTGTTAGATGTAAGGGGGGCAAAATTCACGCAGTCAACATTTTTTTGCACATACATCCAAAGAAAAAAATTTGATAGATCATGTGCCCTCAAACAATATAATGTTGATTTTTGATTTCTGTGGGAATATGCTCATTATGCACGTTATAATTTATATTAACCTTGATTCCAATATCTGCTTTAATGATTCCTGTGACAGCGTCAATAATCAGAGCATTGGTGATGACAGTGTCTAATACATCTCTAGCCAAAGCTGCTTGACCCATACCTTCACGTAACACCTACAATTAATACAGAGTACATGTACAATAAGGAAAATATTTGTATAAATAGGAGAAAGTCCTGGAATTCAGTGGACATTTCATTACCATTTTTTAAAAGGTTGAAAAATAATAATACCAGGGGTAATAATAATAATAATAATAATAATAATAATGAATTTATTGCATCTTCAGAAATAATTTCCATTGATTGACAGCAATAAAATGTTAGTAATAAAGTACAATACATATAAACCTAAAGTAAAATGTCAGATATTGTTATTTCTGATTTCAAATATTTTGAAATTGATAACGTGATAACAATCTGAGTATGTACTTGGGAAATAATCCTACTAATATTGAACATTATGCTGAAAAAAAATGATTATTTCTGATTACTAGACCAATTATTGGTCAGTGTTATATTTTTAACTAAAGTGCTGAAAAGAAACATTTGTTCTTGGCCGAAATTACCTTTCCTCCACCAAATTTGCATTCATCTCCGTATACTGTGAAGTCTTTCTCCACCTCCACAATAAGACTGGTGTCACCAAGCTGAACCTACAAGCAAGCAAATAAATGAACTCTTAATAGAAATTTTTAGGGTGAAGTGTTTCATTAACTCTTTGAACATACAATTTTCCCACCAAAATTTTGCACATTTTTATGTACTTTTCTATAATTTATTTGTTAATTTTTAAACAATATGAACATAATTTTCTATTAGCTACAGATCTTTATCAAAGGTTTTGAAAAAATATGGGAAAATTTTTTTTTTTTTTATTTGGGTGAAAGTTAACTTCAGTGTTTCAATATCTCACGATAACAATAAGCCAGCACTTTGAGTAGGGATGATTATGATAACACGGGGAAAAAAGGTTCATTGTTAACCAATTTTAACATCTATTTGAAATACTGTAAAACAGTTTATTTTTACCCGGAGTTCATTTTCGACGAAGGATACACCGGAAATAAAATTCAGTGAATATACCGTTTTTTTTTCTATATTTCACATTCAACTTGTAAATATATAATAAATATAAATAAAAATATAAATATAAATAAATAAATAAATAAATAAATAAATAAATAAATAAATAAATAAATAAATTATAATTTGTTGGCGTATTAAATCTTTTTACCTTGTCACCAAGTGTGGGTCCATATGTAGTGGCATAAGCACTGCGGGATATTGTGACAGGGGCTGATGACTGCTGGCTCTTCTCACTATCACTCTGTGTAAACAAAGAAATAATGTTGTACAGTGGGTGCCAAAATAAACTAAATATGAAAACCACCATTTCTACATCAATATTTTCTCAAAGCATTGCAATGTTCCTTGGAAGATTCTTGTTATACATGTTTTGCATATTGAAAACACTATTACATTTGGTAATGGTTTCTGATCACATAATATAATGTTTTCAATTGTTGAATTCTCTCATGATTGCAAATATTCACTATTTTAGTAATATTTCCCACAATTCCTTTGCTCAAAAATGAAAATACAACATGATTCACAACAGGGCTAGTCAACAGTTGTAATTTGAATCTGGATGACTACGTCTCACAATATTCATGATTTTCATTCTCAATATAACATGGGAAGAAAATGAAAAAAATTCTGCATTTAATTTTTAACAGTTCAACACCCCTGGTGGTAATTTGACCCGAGGGATGCCAGCTGTTAGGAAGTGCCAAAGTCTAAACATTGATAAGAATGTTAAATTGAAATCTTGAGATATCAGCAGTATAGATATAGATACACATATACACACAATAAGTTCCAAGAGTTCCTGTCATTGAAAAAATTCAGCTCTTCCTTTTGTATCATAATTGATGCATGCTCACCATAGAAACATAACACTGTCATAGTAACGCCCACCTGTTAAAACAAGCAGCCTGTTGGCCGAGACTACTAAAGACCTGTAGATATCATTAGAAAATGAACAATATGTATAGTACATTTTGTATAAAAGTCCGATTGACTTGCTGTTTTCAACAAGAATTCGAAAATATAACTTTTTACCAAAAATGAAAAACAAGCAGCCTATCGGATGAGATAGCTCCGCTGTTAGCAATGCACATTTCAATTAAAAAACTGAAGACATCATTAGAAAATGAACAATATGAATAGTATCAAAGCAATCGGACTTACAGTTTTTAACAAGAAGTCGAAAATATCACTTTTTACCAAAAATTACAAAAATATTCACCAAAATAAATTAATTAGAGAATTGAAGATATCATCACAAAATGAACAAATCTGAGAAAGGTCTACATGTAGTATCTATATATGTAATATCAAAGCAATTGAACTATTGGTTTTTAACAAGAAGTCGAAAATATCACTTTTTACCAAAAATTACAAAAATATTCACCAAAATAAATTATTTAGAGAATTGAAGATATCATCACAAAATGAACAAATCTGAGAAAGGTCTACATGTAGTATCTATACATGTAATATCAAAGCAATTGAACTATTGGTTTTTAACAAGAAGTCGAAAATATCACTTTTTACCAAAAATTACAAAAATATTCACCAAAATTAGAGAATTGAAGATATCATCACAAAATGAACAAATCTGAGAGAGGTCCACATGTAGTACCTATATATGTAATATCAAAGCAATCGAACTTGCGGTTTTTAACAAGAAGTCGAAAATATCACTTTTTACCAAAAATGACAAAAATATTCACCAAAATTAGAAAATTGAAGATATCAACATGAAATGAACAAACCTAAGAGAGGTCTACCCAAGGTACATATACACCAAGTATCAAAGCATTCAGGCTTGTAGTTTTCAAGAAGAAGTCGAAAAAGTAAAACATTGACACGGACGACGAACAATCACTCATATGATAAGCTCCGCTCGACAAAGTCGACAGCGAAGCTAAAAATATTAAATTAAAGATATCATCACCAAATGAACAAATCTGGGAAAGGTCCACATGTAGTATCTATATATGTAATACCAAAGCAATCGGTTTTTAAGAAGTCGAAAATATCACTTTTTACCAAAAATTACAAAAATATTCACCAAAAATAGAGAATTTGAGATTTGACATGAAATGAACAAATCTGAGAAAGAACCATCCAAGGTACTTGCATATCAAATTTGAAAATATTTTGACTTGCGGTTTTCGAAGAAGAAGTTGAAAATGTAAAGTTGACGGAAATTGGCGCCCTGTTTAAATTGTCAGCGCCCAGTTATATTTCCCCTGCACCCTGGTCCCAGACAAAGAATTGTTTACAAAACAGGCCAACACTCATTGTCTTCTGAAGATGATTCATCGTGTTCAGGGTAACTGGTTCATTGTTTTAAAGTTCAAGTGTGAAAATTCCGGCTTGCTATCGTAGCAGGTCATCGCGAGGTGATAATACCACCGAACAAAAAGTTGCAAGTTTTTTCAACACGATTAAAAATGAACATGTGGCCTAGAAAAGTGTATTACTATACCCATATTTTTTCTGTCAGGGTGACGTCAAATATATAAAATCGTTATCGGTAAAACCATTCGTTAAAACATAAGGTCAATGGTTAAAACTAAGTTCATGACGCGAGTTGTAGCGGCAACATCGTCACCACCGAGAGGAACAAAGACAGCCATGCACTTGCATGATCGGTAAACGACCAGCGCAGCCGATGTACCATCACAGACATTGCTGATCACAAGAAGTCGACACAAATGCTTGCTTAAACATGTAAATGTTTATATTTTGACGAATGTCACTAAAATTTAAAGTTGAATTTTCTTTAAACCACGGTAAAACAGCCATGCTTTCAACTCGCATAAGTGGAGGAAATAAATTTACTTGTGTTCTTCTTGACAAATATTCTGATTGGTTGTTTTCGCGTCAATGCATGGCTTTGGCCAATCAAAAGCATCGTTACAT